TGACCGACAGCTACTGTAGATGTTGCGCTGGAAAAGAATCAGGGAGGCAGACGTTGCTTTCTCCCCCGGCTCCCCTCGCGTCACGCTCGGCTGGGGCGTGCCACGAATCGTGGCGAGGGGTTGCAAAACAATGCCGCGCTCTCACTGCGACCATCAGCGAACTGGGGGTTGGGGAGCGCGGTGGCGCAGGGCGGGCGGGCTGGGGACCACGCAGAGGGGGCGTGCCGAGGGCCAGGAGAAAGAGAAGGATGAGGAGGAGGAGGAGGAGGAGGCGAGGAGGAGGAGGAGGAGGAGGAGGAGGAGGAGGAGGAGGGGGAGGAGGAGGGGGAGGAGGGGGAGGAGGAGGAGGAGGAGGGGGGGAGGAGGGGGAGGAGGGGGAGGAGGAGGAGGAGGAGGAGGAGGAGGAGGAGGAGGAGGAGGGGGAAGAGGAGGAAGAGGTTTGGGGGGGCACACGGAGCCCAGGCCGCCCGCTGTGCCGTGCTGGGGACGTGGCGGCACGGCTCGATCGCTGGCCCTGATGGCCGTCTGGGGGCGCCCTCGATCCGAGAGGACTGAACGGTGCCCGGGTCCCGTTCGAACCCCGTCTAAAACGACGCGAAGATCGGGATGAAATCGGATCGGGATAACTCGAAGTCTCTGAGAATCGGCGGGTTTGGAGGATGTATTGGGCGCCGCGGCCGCTCCAGAGCGTTCCGGAACGCTCTGAGAGCGCTCCGGAACGCTCTGGAGCGATTTATCCCGATCCTAGCCCTGTTTTACCGTCACGCCTCGCCGCCTCGCTGGGTTGCGCCACTGCTCGTGGCGAGGGGCTGCGAAGTAGTGCCGCAGCCTCCCTGCCGCCAGCAGCGAGTCCGGGGTGGGGGGCGCGGTGGCGCAGGGAGGGCGGCGAGGCGATCCGGCCGTGGCGACGGGGGGTCTCTTGAGGACGCACGGTGGTGCCAGGATCAGCCCTCCTTCTCCTCCTCCTCCTCCTCCTCCTCCTCCTCCTCCTCATCCTCCTCCTCCTCCTCCTCCTCCTCCGTCCACCCAGAATGCTCCGACTCCCCGAAAAAGTCCAGGGGCGGCGACGGGGGCTCTCCGGCAGGCGCAGCCCCCACTTCCTCGATCGTCTTCCCTTTCCTCGACGATGGTGTCGTCGAAGCCCTGCCTGGCCTCCCCCATCTCTCCTGTCCCCCCCCGCTCTCCCCCCCCCCTCTCCTGTCCCCCCCCCGGCTCTCCTGTCCCCCGCCCCCCCTCTCTCGAGAAAAAGATTTCCCCCGGTGAAATCGGACTTACCCCGGGAAAACCGGACATTCCCCGGTAAGTCTGGGTAGTCGAAGGCCAGACTGTCAGATTGGATTGGGCCCCAAGGGCCAATTTGGCCCGGCCAAACTGGGTAATTTGGGTATTCGCCAGACTGGATTCGCGTTGGCTCCCTCGCCAGATTGCCCCCGTCTGCCAGATTGGGCCTGCCAGATTGGCGCCAGATTGGCTTCGACTACCCAGCGTTCATCGTGTCATCGACCTGCCCCTTGACCCCCTTCTTCTTCACCTCCTCCTCGGCCTCCGCCTTCAGGTGGGAGAGAACGCCGCTGCCCTCTGTCAGCTGCCATTTGCTGCCCTCTGATGCTGCGGGTACATTGGAGATGGCGCCGAGCCAGCTCAGGCTGCAAGCGACCTTCAGGCCTGCGGACGGCGATAGGCAGCTGGGCAGCTGGATGGTGACGTCTGGGGTGATGCAGCCCTCAGACACGAACATGCGGGTGCGGATGCGGGGGGAATGCGACCCACAAGGGCTGCCCCCGGTAGCCTTGGCGCGGCTCCCAATACCTTGGGAGGGGGGCTGGAAAGCCAGATCGGGAGGTGTTCTCCCCCGCCCCCCGCCGCCCCCACCGCCCCGCCCAGCGGAGGGAAGGGGGAAGGGGAGGAGAGGGGAAAGGAGGGAAGGAAGGAGAGCACCTCACTATCAAAATTTCCTACCCCCCCGCCCCTCGCACAGCCGACGGTGTCCTGTGAATCACACGACCTCTCGATATTCGAAACACCTGCCCACACGCGCGCTACCCTTCCCCCGCGTACACACATGCAAATACGTGCGCAAAAGGCCAACCAATCACGCAAACACCACGCCAACCCGCACGCACGAACACTTTTTTGGGTGGCTTCCCATCGCACGGAGACAACTCGAGACATAGGACGGGTCAGGGTGCGCACCGCAAACACATCTCGTTGAACGGTTTCCAACGGTAGGGGAAAACAAATCATCTCCGACCCTCCCCGTGCCGGCGGTGGGAGGGGACAAGTCCCCTCGTTGGCACTGTTCCCTCAGGGTTCGAGACCCCCGCCAATGTGAGCAATTCAAGACTGCTCACCAGCGCAGATGGCGGCCTGGAGGCGAGGGATGGTCACATACCGCCGGACCCCGGATCGGGACAGAGACCCCCGCTCTTATATCCAGGCGTATTCCATCGTACACTCCCGCACAGCTGCACACCACAACTGAGGTAAGCTACCACCGTAGGACCGGCAGAAGCCGCACACCGAGCCTGCACGAAACGCCGCCGGCGCGCGGTGGTCAGGCGCGGGCCGGCGCTCACGCCAAGGCGGTGCCGGAGGGATGACGTCCCCAGAAGGGGGCGCCATAACCGCCCGCCGGTCCGTCCAAGGCACGCGCTACCCCCCCGCCCCCCCGAAGGAGCACCGCCGACACAACAGGATCCTATAGGACCACCCTGGGAGGCATCGTGACCCCTCCCAGCACAGCCGTAGTAGGCACGGGGGGCACAGGGGCTGCTCGTACGCAGATTCCTGTGCGGGGTTGGCCGCGCTGGCCCGCTAATCATCAAGGGTGGCCCAGACGAAAAATGCCGCCCCCCGGCGGACCAGCTGCGTTGTCCTTGCCTGGCCGGGGGACCTGGTTGGCATTGTGGGCTTGCTCCTGTCCGACTCGGCGGTCTGTGGACGCGCCGGACGGTAGGCCACACCGTCCCGGCGCCGCGGCCCCAGGAGCAGGGCGTGGGTGGGTAAAGAGCTCAGCTGGCCAAGAAATGACACACGTCACTTATGCTTAAAGCTTACGCGCGCATCCGATACGTGAGACTGGTCAGGGAGCACCCCAGACCGCACACCAGCGAATTCGCACTCGCCGACGCACCCCTCTCCCATCCCCCCTCCTCAGTGACACCCCGTCCTCATTGCGAACGAAACGCTCGTCGAAGCCCTCGCCCACCAGACACGAACATGCTCACGAGGCCGTGCTTCAGCTCTGCCCGGCGCCTCTGGGCGAAGCTATCAGTGCTGCCGCCCGTTGTGAACCCAGCGGGATCCCAGAATGCGGCATTTGTAGATGCAATCTGGCCCGCAGCCAGAAGGCAGACTCTTGTGAGCACCCGCCGGAGTGAACACCCACAGGGGGATCCTGCACCACGCGATTCCCGGGTGGGCGGTAGGTTGCATAATGATGCATGACTGCTCTCTCCCACAAGCCGCAGGCCAAAGCGGCATACAGCAATCCACAGAATCCGGCAGCGACGCCACCAGCAGCTCACACCTATGGGCGGACCTCGTGGGAACGCCCTGGAGCCCTGGCGCGTGCCCGTAGGCATCGTCTGCCCGTCAACGGCCGGTGAGGTCGACAGTCCGAGCCTCGTAAGACTCAACCGAGGGCGGCAGCACCGCACGCTTATTCACAAAGATGAAAACAGCCATGACGCAACGTCTGAATCACAAAATTCTTGACGCTTCGCGTATCCCCACCAGCCCATCCAGAAACGACGCCCAGGCGAGTAGAGGTGATAATGGAAGCGGGGCAGCATACAGAGGAACAAGGGGCTGGGGAGGCCGTCGTACCCCAAGGTGGGGGGGATGGAGGAGGAGTCGGAGGCGGAAGAGGAGGAGGATGATGAGGGTGGGGAGGGAGGAATGAGGAGGAGGAGGAATAGGCGGATGATGATGTTGATGTTGATATTGATGATGCTGATGATGACGATGATGGTGGTGGTCTTGGTGATGGTGATGGTGATGGTGATGGTGATGGTGATGGTGATGATGATGATGATGATGATGACGATGACGATGATGATGATGATGATGATGATGATGATGATGATGATGATGATGATGATGATGATGATGATGATGATGATGATGATGATGATGATGATGATGATGATGATGATGATGATGATGATGATGATGATGAATGATTGATGATTGATGATTGATGATGATGATTGATGATGGTGGTGGTGGTGGTGGTGGTGGTGGTGATGATGAGGGGGAGGAGGAGGAGGAGGAGGAGGAGGAGGAGGAGGAGGAGGAAGAAGGGCGATCAGAAGAGTCAAAGGCCTCTTGAATGCCTCGCGGAGTCTCTTGGGATGTCTCTTGGGATACTCTTTGAGGTCTCTTGGGGCGTCTTGGGGGCCTCTTGGCGGTCCCGGGAGCTTCTTGGACCGTCTTGGGTGCCTCGGGGGAGCCTCTTGGGGCCTCTTGGGGGCCTCTTGGGGGTATTTTGGGGGACTCTTGGAGGCCTCTTGGGGCCTCCTGGTCGCCTCTTGGGGCCTCCTGGGCGCCTCTTGAGGCCCTCTTGGGGCGCTCTTGGGAGCCTTGGGAGCGCTCTTGGGGCCATCTTGGAGGTGATCGATCAAAGGAAGGGGGTCCCTCAATTTGCACCCCCCCTCGGGAGCCTCTAAAATCGGCCAAAACCCTAGTACAACCGACGATTTTGGCTTCCTCGCCGAGGCCGTTTTGGACGCTCCAACTACCAGCGAAACCCCCCGTCCAGGTCCAGGGGAGGGGGTTAGGGGGAGGGGTAAACCCCTCCCCGAAGGGGAAGAAGGAGGGGTGGAAGAGGAAATTCCCTAAACCACCTACGCCCAGAGGGCTGGTGGGATTCATCATGTAAAAGTCGCCTAATTAAAGGGAGCCGGCTTCACTGTAAACGATGACGCGGAGAACAAGCGACACGGGCACCGCGAAGACAATGCCGAACACAGGCGATGAGAACGACAGCCAGATGCTTGTCAGCATAGGGGCCGCACCCATTGCCATCCAGTATCAATGTGCCCAAGAATACACCAGCGCCCAGCATGTACCGCATCGGGCATGACAGCCAGCAATGACAGCGAGGGCAGAGTACACGGCGAAGCCGGGCCCTGCGCGGGCGCCTCCGGTGGCGCCGCTGCGTCCGCCGGCTGGCTGCGCGTCGTTCTCGGCAGGTTGTTGGTGCGGTGCTGCCACCGCCACGCTCGGCCACAGACGGTGCACTGGATGCGCCCCTCGTCCAGGGCTCCCTTGACCTGGCCTGTTTGCCGGTTCCATGTCAAGGTGTGGCCCCCCGAATTGTAATTCTCGTGCAACTGCCGCTCTAACTTATCCAAACGGGTCGTGGACTGCCGGTGTCCCTTTGTCTGCAGCCACCGCTCCTCCGGCAGATCGGCTGCTGTGCATGGTGCACTCGTGATTTTCAGCCGGACATGCTGCAGTCGTTGCACGTACTTCCCGCATTTCCTGCACCACACGCCCTGTGCGTCCTTCCTCGCGGCGAGGGCGTGGCCGTTCTCGAGCGTCAAACTGCGCGGCACTCCCTGTGGGCCCTCTGCAAACCTGTCTCCGGCATGATACCGCTGGACGTGTTGAGTCCAGATGTCGATGGGCATGCTCTGCTTGGCGCTCACCTGCGCGACCGTGAGGGATGATGACTGCGGAATGACAGCTGCGTACCGCACGCACATGGGCGCCTGCATGATGTCCCGCGGGAGCACCCTCAAGGCCGCGCGCCGCAGGTCCACGTAGTCTCCGCAGTGCCAGGAAACGTGCATGACATCCTCCTCCGCACCGCACCTGCACTTCGAGTGGCTGCCGTCTCCACGGTGCCTGGCGTTCCGCTCGGCGGTCATGAGTCCGCCGGCCAGAATTAGCCGCAAAACTCCAAGCTTCTTGCGTGCATCGAGAGCACTTGCGGCGCCAGTCTGTGCGCTCTCGCCCTGGCCTCCGTCCTCTTCCTCCTCCTCCTCGTTTGCCCGCCGCTGCAGTCGGTTGTACAGGGCCATCGTGCGCTCCCTGTCGACATGGCTGGCTCCTGCGTAGTGCTGCGCTCGGTCTCGCACAAGACGACGTGAAAGTTCACTGCGCCATGCCTCCCGCAGGTTATGCTCCCACTCCCCCTTGTTGTCGACCCCGGCGACAAGCTGCTTGACGGCGTCCCCGTACACCGCGAGTCTGCTGAGGCATCGCAGCCGCATGACAGGGCCGGGCCGCGCGGCCACGGCTGCCTTCGGGTACATCTCCATGACCTTCGCGCGAATGCCTGGGTGCTGCAGCGCCCGGTGCATGGTGCGCAGGGCCTCGTAGTGATACCCGAATTCAGGGTCCAGCTGCGGCGGCGCCAAGATGCAGAAGGTGAGTGCTGGACTGCAAGAGTACGAATCTGTCTTCCAGAGGCTTTTCATGATGGCCGTGCGAATCTTCTTGAGTCCTGCCACCTCCAATCCCAATTTGTGAGTGCCCTGTCCAAAAGTCGCTTGGGATTGCGCTGCAAGAAGCATGAAAGATCGGCGCCTCCAGTGGTAGGGCACGCTGCGCACTCTGGCGATGGTCCCCTTCCGTTCGTCCAGGCGCCGCGTCTCGAGCTCCGTGGCGCTGCTGCCCTCCGTGCGGATGGATCCGCCGACCAAGCGGAATTCCTTTCGGGGGAGCGTAAGACCGGGGTTTGCCAGGACTCGGGTTCGCCATCGTCTTTTGACGACCGCGACTCGGATTTTGACGAGTAGGAGTTTCGTGGGATGTCTGCACCGGGAGGCCTCGTCAAAATGCAGGCTCGGCCTCGTCATTTTTTGACGACCTCGTCGGGGATTTCCGAGTCCCCTGTACCCAGGTCTTACGTCCGCCTGATCCTTCTCGTGCTTGAAGCCCGGCTCCAGGATCCCACTGGCGCAGTCGTCCCTACGTGAAGGTCTTCTTGCCGTTGATTTCGTACATTTTCACGATCCTGTGCACCCGTCTCACACCATCCGCCACGCTGTCCTGGGTGCGCCCTGTGGACGTGGCACTGATGTCGTCCGCGTACGATCGTACTGCGGCCCGCGGCACGTGCTTCTCGGACATCTCGAGGATGCAGTTCACCATTGCCACGAGGCCGATCATGGACAGCGGGTCCCCCTGGATGATGTGGCCGTAAGACCTCCACCACTCGGATAGCGCTCCTCCTAGTCTGAACACCCAGTGCAAACCGGCGTACATGGCGCGAAGTGGTCTCAGCATCCGGTCCGATGCACCTCGCAACCGGAGCACCTCCAGCATCGTTTCGACGGGGATCAGGTCGAAGCACTTGCGAAAGTCATAGGACACGCCTCCAACAAGAAGAGTAGCGTCGTAGGCCGGCGCCTCCATGTCCAAGGCAACGTCGATAGCCATTTGCTCGGCCGAGTGTTTACTGCGGCATCCCCATGACTTGTCGCTCACCCAGCTCTCTTGCCACTTCAGCGCCCGCGAAGCGAACTTTGGCCCACAAGCGGTAGACTGCAGAAAGCACGGTGATCGGTCGAAAGTCGAGCGGGCCCACTTCGCTGGCGTCCGTTGTCTTCGGTATCAAGGAAGTGTAAGCCTTCTCGAGGTCGCCCAGCCATTTTCCAGTCTCTTCGACGTGATTAAGGATCTGGGCCTTGTCGTCGTAGATGCCTGGGTACCAGTGGGCGAGCGCTGCCAAGGCCGCCGGCCGCCAGGCGTCCAAGCCGGCCGCGCACGGGGCTGTGCGCCGCGCTGCGTCAGCCAGCTGCGCTCCTGTCAGGGCGTCACACTGCATGACGCTACTCTTCATCACCGGCTGGAAGGTTGCCACGAACTGCTCGACCTTCGGTTTCCGTACCTTGAATTTGTTGAAGATGGGCGTCCACTCGTCTAGGATAGCCTGGAGTTGGCTATTTTTGTTCGCAGTGTAGGTGCCGTCCTTAAGCTTCATTGCCTTGTCTACCTGTGGCGCGCCATTTTTGACGTAGCGAAAGGCTTCCTTTTCCGCCGCCTGCAGCCGCTGCTTCCAGGCCCGGGTACGTTCTGCTTTGTCTTTCCGCTGGCTCAACACACACACTCGTGCTCGAGCGCCTGGGCGAGGGCCCTGGCCGTGTCCTTGCCGAGCGTGCTGGCTGCAAAGGTGCTCATAGCTGCGTCCCCCTGTGCCGTCATATTCAGCGTCATGCTCACGAGGTTGCTCTTGGTGGCCTCTGCCCGGTGCCCGTACACCTGCATGGCCGCGAGCTCCTGCGCTCGGCGCAGCGCCTTCGCCAGCTGTCTGCTGCCCAGTGGTGCAGCGGCCGCCTGCTGCTCCTGGGGGTAGGTGCAGACCCTCCGGAGGCGTACTTTTCCTCGGCCGTGCCCTCCGTCAGTACTGCTGTCGGTGCACGGGATCGTGGCCAAGGCTGCCTCTGCGTTCCTGCACCACAAGCCATACGCCTTCTCCAGCTTCCCTGCCCGGAGGGCGGCCCCAATGCGCACGTCGCGGCGGCTGCTGTCGTCCACGTGGCCCGGCGGCGGTTTGCAGTAAGTCTTCTGGGACCCAACTTTTTTGGGCATGGCCCACGTCTGGGACCCAATAGGCATGGCCATTCTAAGGTTAAGCGCCATATGTTGATCGTGTTCTGCCGCCTGCACGCCCTCCGTGACCCCGAAGCTGCGCATGCTGTGTGCGGCTATTGCATTGACCAAGGCCCAGTCGATCCTCGCCCCCTTGCCCTTTGTGCTCGTGGAGCGATGCACGTCCCCGTGTGCTCCCCACAGGGCGGTGTCGTGCCAGCCAGATCGTCGGTACTTCGCCAGGACCTCCGGCACGTCTCCGGGCTCCACGGTCGTATCGCCAACGAGAGTCGTAGCGATGTCCCCCCTGGTCACGGAATCCTCCAGGATCGCTTCCAGCATGTCCACCACGTTCTTGCGCTTCTCCGGCTCCCAGCGCGCCCCTGCGTGTCCATACGCCACGTAGAAAATCACGTTCCTTTGGCCCGAATGTCGAAAAATCTGCAGAATCATTAGGCGGCCCTGAGCAGCATAGCGCTTTAAGCGATCCGACTGCGGTGCCAATTGTTGCACGGCCCATGCTGCTGATCGCTTGACGATCGCCATCACGCCCGTGCGGTCACGCTGAGACACGGGTTGCTCCCATAGGACAACACTGCCTTGAGCGTCTTGGGAGAAAGCCTTCTGCGTGTAAGTGGTCGCATGCGTCTCCACGAGTATGTTTACGTCGTGTTCCAAATTGTGAATCATGCCAAATTTACCAGTCTGCTGTAAACCATTGACATTGTTAAAAAATATGCTCAACTCCCCATTACCATGCATAGCCCTCACATAACTATTCCACTCCTTGTGTGAAACATGCCAGATCACATGCCAGACACAGCATAAGTAGATAAGCCAGGTGGCCGGCCGCCACCACCAGCGCAGCCACCGTGTTCAGCGTTCCTGTTGCATCGGATCCCCCGTCTTCTGCTTCTGCTCGGGCGGCGTCAGGCCGGTGGACTGCTCCGTGGGCCGCCGCTGCCCTCTCGGAGAGACTGGCTGCTGCGCGGGCGCCCTGGACTGCGCCGCGGGGGCCGCTCCCAGGGCCGGCGGCGTTCCTGGGAAGGCCGGCACGACCGATCGCACGAAGTTGAAAGCTGCACTGGGTCCGCCCGCCGCTGCCCGGCCAGCACGCTGCGCCTGGGCGTCGTCCTTTGCCAGGGCACGCGCCGCTGCGTTCACTGCTTTGAACACGATCGGCACCGGCTGCTCCTGATCGAGAAATTGCAAAGGTGCGGTCCGACCCTTGTTGGTCGCGTGGAAGATGGCCTGCTTCGCGTCCATGAAAATGACATCCGCCACCTTCCAGTCCTGTGCAATCAGCATGTCGTAGAGGCCGTGGGTGCCGGCCGCCAGCGGCACGCCTGTGACCTTCCACCGGGGGACGTCCGGCGTGTCCTGCAGGCCCTCCTTCTGCACAATGGCTGCTGCATCCGGTACCGTTTTGCACCGGAGCGCCAAGCGGCCGTTCCCTTTCTCGGCAAGGCCGTGCACACGGTCATCATTAGCCATCTGCAGCGCTACCGCCAGCTCCGTGAGGTCGGGTAGCCAGACCAACTCCATGGCCTCGTGCTCCCTCTGATCCTTGTGGACCTTCAGAAAGATCCCGGATTTTCCGCTGAGGCGAAGCACCTTGGCTACCAGCGTCGAGTGCACCAGAAAAGTCGCCGTGCCGTCCTCGCGGGTCACGGAGCTGTCCAAAGCTCCTTCCGAGATGTCGTTCGCCACCAGATGCTGCACCAAGATGGCGGCCAGCTGCGGACCTGTACTCCACTCGTGTCTCGACGAGAGTTTGGCTACCATTTTTACCATGTGGAAGCCTATGTCCACGGCGGCGCCAATCGCCCTCTTCTTCACCTGCTCTCCAAAACCCAACTGGACGAGCCAACGTGTCACCCTCGCCGTCGTCCGTTCCCCCCCAGCATCTGCCACACTCAGCTGGCAGTCCACGCGGGCCCGGGGGTAGCCGCGGAGCCCCAAATCGTCAGGATTCTGGGTTACGATGGCCACCGTGGCTTTCGCGGTGTAGCCGACGCGCTCCAACACCATGGGCAGGGCGTCCTTCGGCACGACTGCCACGACTCCCGTGCTGTCCAGGGTCTGGTGGGGTTTCACCTCGGCTTCCCATTCGTCCTGGAGCAAGGTGGACTGAGCCCGCATCTTGGCGGCCTCCGGCATGGCGTCGCGGATGGCCGCCTGGTAGTCGGCAGGGTCGTTGAGGTCCCAGGCGGGCGCCTCCGGCTGCTTGCCCCTGCCCTTGCCCTTGCCGAGGCCCTTGCCCTTCCCCTGGGGTCCATTCCCATGGAGGGCATGCATCAACTTATTCCGGGCGTGGTGCGACATTTGCCACAAGCACGTGACCGAGGTGAAGGAGGACAGAACCAAGCTGAAGATGATGTGGAACATGATGCTGCTGAGGAACTCCTTCTCGATGATGCTGCTGATGAAACCTGGCTTGAAGATGCTGCTGCTGTTGAAATTCTCCATGAACGTGTTGATGATGTTGCTGAAAATGCTGCTGCTGCTGAAATTCTCCATGAACATGTTGATGATGTTGCTGATGCTGATGTTGTCGCTGCTGTTGCTGCTGCCTACTCCTCCTCCCTCCTGCTGAGGAGCCTGCTGAGACGCAAATGTCGTAGCATCCCATGCTGAAGAAGCGTATGATGTAGACTCCAATGTCAAGGTACCGTATGCTGTAGAAGCGTATGTGGTGGCCGTCGAGCGGCCTGGGAAGCACCGTCTCCCCTCCGCAACTGAAATCGCCCCCGGCATGCCTCCCATCAGTTGCATCAAAGGCGCCGGGGACCCAGCGGGATCCCAGAAGCCCATCGGGCCCTGGACGAACCTGGTAGCCATGGCCATCATGGAAGTGGAAGTGGAAGTGGAAGTGGAAGTGGAGGGCGTGTCGGTCGAGAAGACCTGCCCTCGCCCTCCCAGCCGGGCAAGGATCGAACCCCCTACCCCGTCCCCCAGCCGAGGCCTGGGGACGGAGAGGGCTTGGGGGGGAGGGACAGGGGGAGGGAAACACTCGATGGCGAAAGATCACGTAACAGGAGCGCCCGCACGTCCGAAGGCCCACACTGCTCCCGGAACTTCAGCATACATGGACGTGGCTATCGCGAAGTGCGCGTGCGCACACACACACACAACGTGCAACACCGATACACACACACACACCACCACGCGCGCACGCAAGAATCCTGCCACTAGGTTGCCCCCGCCGTGCTCGCCGAGGTATGGTCGGCGGACCAGAACGCGTGATACGACAGCTGCCCCACCTTCCCGCCCACGCAGTGGCCTTGCCCGTCAAACAGACAAAGTGCGCGCTTCGGGTGCGGCGAGGCGCGCAGAACCATTAAAAAACCGTCACATAGGCTTAGCTTTTGCCGCAAAAACCGGCGCCAAATCGACCCTGAAGGACCCCCAAGAGCCAAAAGGCAGGAAGCCCCCCCTGGAAAGACCCGTTTTCCCTTACCTTTTCCGTCTCCAAAACAAGGTGCCCGCGCCGGGTGCGGCGAGACACGCAAAAACCCATGAAAAACCGTCGCTACGGTTTAGCTTTTGCCTAAAACTGGCGCCACATCGGCCCGGAGGGACCCCCAAGAGCAAGTTGCAGAAGTCAGGCTCGGACAAAGCTTGTTTTTTCGCCTAAAAACACGAGGTGCTCGCGCCTGGTGCGGCGAGGCGCGGTCCAAAGAAGCTGGTTCCAAGCAAGCAAGCTATTCCCCTCTCTGGGGCGGCCACGACCTACGATGGCCCTTTGTGCAAAGGACGCCCACCCCCCATCCTTTCCCGGTCTCTCCTGTTCCCCCACGTAGGCCCCACCCTACCCTACCCACCCAAGCGCCCCCTGGACCTACCCCCGGCCTACTCACCTGCGCCTGCGCTTCTGCTCACGCTCCGTAGGCGTCGTCCCCTCAAAGAGAAGCACACGGTGGGTTTCGGTGGGGCGCGCGGCCAAGGCCGCGTGGTTGCGGCACGGGTAGCCGCCCGACAGGCGGATCGCCGCGTCCATGTCCTTGATCGCCCTCCACGCCGCAAGAGAGGGGTCCGGGAAGGCCAAACGAATCTCGTAGTTGCCGTCGTACTGGCGCCCCCCCCATCCCCCTTGGTCCCCTTCTTCGGGTTCGCATGCACGTTGGTGATCCCGCCGCGCGTGGCCAGGGCGTCGCGCAACTCCGTCAAGGGGCGAAGGGCCGCCTGGAGGATCGGGTTGGTGCACGTGCCGACGCCCGACAGGTCTGTCGGGAGGCCCATCTGGGTCGCCAGGTCCTCGATGAGCTTGGCCCCCATTCCCTGCTTGAACTCGCCGTACTTGTTGCCCGGCGGGTCGATAACCTTCTCCTTGAAAAAGGCCTGCACGGACGGGGCGTTCGCCACTACGATGTTGCGATGCTTGTTCATCTCATCGCTCCCCGCCGCGACGCGCCGCACTGTGCGCTCCAGGGTATCGAACCTCTCGGTGAGGGCTTCCAACTCGGAGGCAAGGCGCTTGGCAGGCATGGTTGGTGGGGGCTGTCCGAAACAGTGTGGGGTGCTGGATCGGAAGGCTAGGGGGGCGCGCGGCGGTCCGAGAGTCTGATCCGAGATGCGTGCTACGGACGGACCCCTGCCGCATAGATTAGACATAGCTTGCACCCACATGACATTCGCGCCGTTAATCTAGAGATTAGCGACGAGAAGCAGACTAGAGTGGCGGGCGACGGTAGCCTACTAAACGGGCGTGCCTCTGCCCTGGTGGGCTGGTGAGATGATTTCCCGACGTACGAGCACGGCCTCATGAGGCAACGGGTTCAAGACCCCGCGTCGTCAGGGTTCAAGACCCCCGCCCACGAGGAACGGTGCAAGACCGAACCTCAGCGCCAAGGGCGGCCATACGGCGACGACGGTCCTCACTCGGCTAGCCGGTACGCCCCCAGGACGGACACCAGGGACAGGATACACAGAACGGCTGGTCGGACGACTACAAGGTTGAACTGGTGGACAGGCACGAAGTCAACGTGGCCGTAGCCTCGGGAGACATCGGGTTCAAGACCCCGCGTCGCCAGGGTTCAAGACCCCCGCCCAAGAGGAACGGTGCAAGACCGAACCCCAGCGCCCAGGGCGGTCTTTCGACGACGACGGGCCTCCCTCGGCTATGCCCTACACCCGCATGGTCATCAACAGCGACGGCGACGGGGGGCCAACTACTGAGGCCCGATGGCATTGCCACCACCGACCTGGCCGCCATCCCAGCGACCGACCCCCGACCTACTGCCGACGGACACGCTTCGGAGCCGGTCCGGCCGCCCGACCTGCGGGGCGTCGGAGAACTGGCCCCCTTGCGCCGGGTGCTGCCGCTGGCCTGCGTAGGACCGCAGGCGCAGCCCCCGGAACCGCCGGGCCCCCCGGCAACGCCTGCATCCCCCCCCCTCCTGGGGGTCCGCCCGCAGCGGGGGCCGCCGCTGGCGCATGGATCACCGGGCCTGCCGGCTGAAGGGCTGCTGCTGCTGCTGCCCCCGGCGCCGCGGCCCCTTGACAAAACTTCTCATGGTGGACCAGGGCCCTCGGGAGCTTCACCCCGCGTGGCACATCCTCGACTATTTTACCACATCTGCGGCATGTGCAATTGGCGGCCGTGGATCCTCTACAGACCTGTTCGTGAATAGAACGTGTGCCTTCGGGCAGCAGTTTGCCGCATTTCCTGCACTTGTCGCTCCCCGGAGGGATCACCCACTGTGCCGGCGGGCGCTGGCACCTCCGGAAATGGTTACGCATCAGGCGTGCTGGCAGCACCTCCCCGCATTTCTTACACGTGTCCCAGTCCTCCACCGGCCCCTGCGCCTCGGGGGAGACCCCAGGCAGCGGTGCCGGAATCGACCACCTACGCGAATCCGTCCCTATGCGGCCTCTGGCTCCGGCGTCCGCGCATCGGTCTGCCAATTCGTTGCCGTGGTCACCTGAATGGCCGTACACGTGTCGCCATGATACCACTCGCCGTTCCTCCACCTGCCGCACCATTTCTCGCACCTGCACCGAGAGCTCCTCATTTGCCTTAGGTGCCCACACACCCTGGGATACGTTCGCCGCATATTGCGAATCATACAATATCTCCACTGGCGTGTCCCCCTGGTCCGGCGCCTCCCTCAGTATCCACATCATGGCTTCCCCAATCGCTGATAATTCCCCCGTATTGTTCGTTTTCTCCCTCGCGCCTATCCACATGGGGTCCCAGGCCTCGGTGACTACAGGGGCGTGGAGGAGGAAGTCGGGGATGTCCCCTACCACAGGATACCGAAACACCACCACCCCCCACCCGGCTACCTGAACCGAGCGGCCTGCCACTTGGGCGACCTGCCCGGACCCGTCCGTGTACATCAGCCAGCCATCCGGGGGAGGGAGATCTGGCCCATGCCGCGCCTGCCACGCGCCGGATGCAGCCCGTGAGACTAGGTCCCTGTGCGCGCGCCTCGCCGGGCACGAATGTGCACGCAGCTTATCGCGATTCGGAAAGAACACATAGCAATCGGGGCAACGATGCGTGGAACGCGACGTAATGAGGTCTGGATCACACACCCCATGTTCCGCATCGTAATGAAAGCGCATGACATTGGGCGAAGCACACACTCGGCCACAAGCAGGGCACTTACAAGGGTCCACCCCATCCGCGGTGTAACGCTTGGTCAAGACGTAACCTTCCCCAGCTGCGCGTAACACAGGCACAGGTTGCCCCGGCGTCCACTGGTCCAGCGCGCGTTGCTGTTCGTTCGACAGAGCTGGCACCCCACCCACGGTGGCCACCCTACGCCTCCAACTCCGCTTCTCCTGAGCAAGCCGGAACCAGTCTAATTTCGATATCCCGCCGTGATCCAATGCCCGGTCGAGCCATTTGACCTGCGTGATACCAACCCCTGCCTGCCGACTAGACCCTACCCAGCCGAACATCATCTGCTTGGGCCGGCGGTGCACAGGCATGCGCGCAACATGCCCTAGCCATACGAGACACTGCCGCACGATGTTGTCTACCATGGTCTCCCATCCTGCCGCCGCATATAGCTGTGCGTCCGTAACATGACACTCCTGCAGCCGGAACGTGTCCATCCCCATCGCCTTTCGTACGGCGAAATGCGCAACCCTCTGCACCGCCTGCACCTGCCGCTTTGTCCACGCACGGGACCGGCAGAATGCGAGTACGGTGGGTATAGCGGCCGCTTTCATGATTGTCAGTCGTACATGGCGCCGTACTCCGCTTCTGTCTCCCCTCCCGAACTTCCCCTCTGACCGCCAGGCCTGACATACTTCTCCAATCTTGCTCCGCGCCCTGCTGACTCTATGCTCCGTGTCCCGGTTATGTCTGCCGTCTTCTGCCACCATGCCCCCCACATGGCGGACCCATGGGGCCTCCCCGGGCCCCCGGACGTCATACGGCCGACGGCCTTGCGCACTGACTCGTAAACGTTCCGTTTTCCCCTCATTTACCCGCTCCTCCCAATCCGTGAGGGTCTGCACAAAGATCCCCTCCGCTTTGTGTACTTCTTCGACTTCCCCGCACAATCCGGTGTCGTCAGCATACCCGAGGTCGCCTATAATCTCACTGGACACATCCGGGTGCGTAGCACCGTCGGGCCGGATATATTTCACCGTGCAGCGTTTCACGAGGTCCTCATTGACGCGAAAGTGCCAGCGGATTCCAGCGTCCACCCCTAGCGCCTGCGCTGCCTGAACCCGACGTGCCCGGAAGTCTTCCATCACAGCGTCGTGGTAGATGTTGAACAGCGGAGGGGAGGACGGACATCCCTCCCGCAGTCCCCGGTCGGGCAGCCATGGCAGCGACTGGCCTCCGGCCATTTGCGCTGCGTATTCCGTGCCTTCGTGCAGGGCCTGACATACCTTGACCATCCTCTCGGGACATCCCCGCCTCCGGAGGAGCTCCCAGAGTCCATCTTTGCACACTCGCGGGTAGGCCTTTTCTATGTCAAAGAAGCTGAACCTATATTCCTTACCCTCCTCTGTTCTGCCACGGCAGATTTCTTCTACCAGGCGGCGGCTAGCCTGTAGTGCATCATCTACACCCCGCCGCCCTCGAAAACCGCACTGCGATTCATCCAACAGCCCCTCGGCCCATCTGCCCAAGCGCGCGGCCACCACGCGCGCCAGGAGCTTGGAACCAACGCTGAGGAGTGTGATCCCTCGATAGGTACGTTTGTCGTGCCGACTGCCCTTGCCCTTCCATAAGGGTACGACTAGACCCAGTTTCCAGGCGGCCGGCCAATCCCTGCCTTCTTCCGAAGGCGGAGCGGCGGACGCACGGCGCCACATCTGTTTGACGACCTGGAACACCTTGCGGCGAAAACGTTTCCCGCAGAACTTCAAAGCCTCCACTGGGAACTCATCCACCCCAGGCTTTTTTCCCAGCTTCATTTGGCCGACACATCGGTCGAGCTCCATGTCGCTAGGTATGTGGCCGAGCCACGCCGCAGGTCGCGGTGTCTTTGTGACGTTTTGCCACACACGTTCGTGAACCGCTCCCCGCCCTTCAGACACCTGGCGAAAGTGCGTTGCCCAGGCCTGTCGCTCGGCCTCCAGATTGCCCACTGTCTTCTGGCCTCCGTCGCGACGTCCGGCCTTAGGGCGGTCCCGCAGGCCCCGAAACAGTTCATACAGGCGCGCCTGATCCCCCTTTTCGGCCGCCGCCGTGGCCATTGCCCCCTGTTCCTCCCACCAGTCCCGCTCCCATTGCTTGAGGCGCCTACGTTTCGTCGTCCGTGCCCCGCGGAGGGCTCTCCGGCTATCTGTGCGTTCCTTTTCGACCGCCTCAGTACCCGGCCTCGGTTCCATACGAGCGGCCCGGTCCCGCTCTCGCGCCGACGCTATTTCACCGTCCAGCGTCGCCACGTCACCTTCCTTGCCAACCAGCCACGGGCAGCGCGCGCGCCGCGGCGCTTCACCTAACGCTTCCAGGCCTGCGGTGTGCGAAATCGCCACCAAATCGCCCCAACACACCTCCTCTCCGGCATCAGCCACGGCTTCATCGGTCAGTCGGGCGAACTCCGCCCTTCGGCGCTTCGCCTCTTCCGTCGGCCCTCGTAGGCTGGCCCACGCCGGCCGCTTAGCGGCGCGGGGACGTTTAGTCGTTTTCCTCCAATCCCTCGCGTCCCTACAGGTCAGTTCCACTGGTTCGTGGTCTGTGTATTCCCCCCAATTCCATACTCCCCCGCAGCTGGGGCGCTGAGTCGGATAGTCCTTCGCGTGCAACACCCGCGCATCCGTGGCGAACCATCTGGCTTTCCGGGGTATCATGATATGGTCAATCATGCGCTTTGAGCCCCATCGAGGGTGCTGCCACGTCCATGCCTCCCTACGCTTCCACAGAGTTCCCGTAACCACCAGATCCTGTTCCACGCAGAATTCCATGAATCGGCGACTAACCTCGGACCCGTCCTGGTCTACCGCGGCTCCTGTTGCTCTGTCGAAATCTCCCTCCTGCGGACGGAATGCCGTGGCATTCATGTCGCCCCCGACGATCACGTGACAGTCGCCAGGTGCCTTGGTGACCAGCTCGCCAAGACGCTCCCAAAAACGTGTCCTTTCCGCCGCCGCCGCTGGTTTGGCTGTGGGTGCATACCCCGCGATCAGATACCACCCCCGTCGGTGGCCTTCCCGGCCTAGGAACACCGAGATGCCCCGGCAGCTCCGACCGGAGCGAGCTCCGCCCGCCGAGTACTGAACGGCCCCGGAGTCCCGCCAGCGTCGAGTCCATACCGCGTCGAGCGCAATTGCGACCCGGCCCTGCGTGACCACCGTCCAGACCTGGTGGGCTGTGCGGTATTCGTATACCCCGGCCGTCGGGTACGCTACGTCGCTCAACAACACGGCGTTCCATTTGCGGGTCTCGAAAATGCGAAAAAGGCATTCCCGCTTTACCCATGGATCGGTACGAGAAAAACGCCCTCCGAATCCGCGGACGTTCCAGCAGCCCACTCGGACCTGCTGTTGGCCCGACCTAGCAGTGCGATCCGCGACGAGACTTGAGGCTACGATGGTCCGTCGCCGACGCCGCGGCGTAGCGCCGCTCTCAGGCGTCCCTCGTCTAGCAGTCTGACTATGGATGCCTCGCTTCTTCTTAACCGCCTCGGAAAGGCGTCGCAGACGGTGTAATCTACGTCGGGTCTTCAAGCCATCACGACGTGTGTGTCTGGCAATGGCGTGAGGTGTTTCCCTCCCTGCCTCCTCGCCCAACCCTGCCCACTCCATCTCCACGAGCGCCAAACCCTGCAGAGGTAGGAGGTGCCCAAGACGCAGCGCCCCGGAAGGACACCTTAAGGATCGAGAGGCGCACCACACGCACGCGCGCCTTAGCGCCACGCCTACTCCCGTTGATCAGGCGGGAGCAGGGCTTACGCTGCACGGCGCGCAGGGGAAGGCCCCGAGGGACCTAACCGCCCCTGCACGCCGAGGCAGCGAGTCGCGCCCACCCGCCCCCAGCGGAACTTGGGCCTAAACGACTGCGTGGGACAGCAAGTGAGGTAGGTGATCCACATGCCCAACACGCAACCACGCTGTCATGAACGCGGGTGCAACGGGGACGACGTGAGGGGGCTGGGCCGGGGCGAACCCAGCCACCCCCAGCGCCCTGGGTTAGCCGCCTCAGGCGGGGGATTGGCGCACCACGAGCGAGGCGCCATACCACAATCAGCCCCGGCCGCCCGAGACGTTGCCCTCGGCCCAGCCAGGAGGCTTGGGCGCTAACGGGCCTGACGTAACTACGACGCGAACACCACGCCGGAATGCTCCCGTCCGACTCGGCGGTCTGTGGACGCGCCGTCGTAGCTGGCTAGGCTACGCACGGCACCCCGGCCCCGGGAGCGGGGCGTAGGCCGGTGAGGACTACGGTCGCGCCCCCCTCTGTAGGACACGTCACAATCGCGATGCCGACGACTGGGTAGCGCCTAGAGGCCCCGGGTGGGTCCCGGTGTTCCGCGCGCCCAGACAAGAGGCGCCGTAGAAGTCACCATCATCCATCGCACAGCATCAACAGCCACAGACACACCCCGACTCTCCCTCCCCTCTCTCCCATACCAGCTTGGCTCCTTGTAGCCCGGTCTCGGACTCAGCCTCTCGTCGGAAGTCTCCCGCGGGCAGGGTGGCGCTGCGAGCACGGATGAGGCGGCCAGGACACACGGGGAGCCTCGAGCGGTGGTCTCTGTGAGAGCGGCAGGGTGGCGCTGCGAGCACGGATGAGGCGGCCAGGACACACGGGGAGCCTCGAGCGGTGGTCTCTGTGAGAGCGGCACGGAGCTAGGGGTCGGCGCACGGGGCCCAGAGCTCTCGACCACAAACAAAGACCCCCTCCCCCTCTCTCCTGCCCCCCTCCCCGCACACACCCGCGCACACACACACACATCCACACTCCATCCACACACACACACACACATCATCCAACATCGTGCGGCTGGCACTGGTCCGAGTGGCCGTAGGACGGTCCTGAATGCGAGCAAAAGATCCTGGGAATCGCAAGGCAGCATGCCCCCTCGGAGGACGTGCTAGCCAGCCCCAGGGGGGAGAGAGAGAGGGCGGGAGAGGGAGGAAGAGGGGGGGGGGGCGGAAGAGGGAAAGGGGGGAGAGGAGGGGGGGGAGGGGGAGAGAGAGGGAGGGGGAGCGGGAAGGGGGAGGGGGAGGGGTGGCCACTACGTCCTCCCCCCATACCCTGATCCTGCATATGTCGTAGTCCCGCCGTGCCCATGGCCATCATGGCAAGGCGACCGCTGGCAATCTCCACCGCCAACCTCTTCTGCTTCTCTGCGGAATCGCCGGACATCGGCACCTTCCAGCCGGAGACGCCCGCCGCGGCAGCAGCACCAGCAAACCAGTCTTGCGACGTGCAGGGCGCCAGTCCAGGCGGCGCGCCCGCGTACCTGCGGCCGCGCCCGTGGCGCCAGCGGCGTTCGCGGCGCCGACGGCGCCGAAGGCGCCGGCGGCGCCCGCAGCGCCCGCGGCGCCACACAGGCGCCCGCGGCACCGGCGGCGCCCAGGCGCCCGCGGTCCGCGGCGGCCGCAGCTCCGGCGGCGGAGGCGGCGCCCGGGATGCGGGCAGCCCCGGCGGCCGCCCGTTGGCGCCGCCGGCGAGCCGCCGGCGCGTGCATCGCCCGCCCGAGGCGCCGGGCTGGGCCCGAGGCTCCGCCAGCCACCTTGAGCCAGAGCGGCGGGGAGCCAGGCTACGGAAACGCCCCAAGAACACGAAGGACGGTCGTCTTGCTCGATGAACCATCACTGTTGGCAGCGGCTGCTCGCGATCGCGTTATTGCGACGTGGCAGCACGAACAACAAGAAGCTATGAGTTACGTATCCAGGCGCCTGCGGGACATCCGCCACCGTGCCAGCGAAGCATTCTGCGCAGTGACCTTTCGAGCACCGCCCATCCGGCCGTCACATGTGACACCCCTCGTCTCCACATGGTAATGAGATATCACGGGGCTTATTTAGGCCGTCTTGGGGCTGTAGTAAGTTCGTGTGGGGCAGTCGTAGGTGTCCCTTTGCGCCCTCTTCGGTCGTCTTTGGATTATCTTGGGCCGTTTCAGGGTCAGCTTGGGCCGTCTTGGGGCAAGTTTCCCCGATGCATGTTTTTTTGCTTCCGTTGCGCACCGCATCACTGATTTGATGACCTTAATGATCCAAGTGGTCCCAATCGGGGCCAGACTAGTGTCTACTGTGGTGGTCGTTCGCTCGTTCGTTCGAGCGGCCGTCTTGGATGCCTTGTTTCATTGAGAACGAAACGTCGGGTGGCCTCAATGGCCCGCTTTCGAAGCTCCCCGCACCGTCGCGGAACATGTACGCAGCGTCGACGGGTTGAACGCACATACGATGACGTGAAATGACGATTGCAAAGGGCAGAATTGCACCGAAGGCAAGATGCGGTGTCTCTGATGTCGAAGATGCAGGGCCGTGCAAGGCGGAAACCGCCGACCACGCCTAGCTCCTGCATCGTTCTGCACCTGCCCCTGCCCCTCCCCTCTCAGAGCCTACCCCTCGCCCCACCCCTCTCCTCCCTTCAGGAGGGAAAGAAACACACAGACACAATCAATCGTCGATCCCCAGGAAAGTATGGAAAACTATGGGCAGTGGGGGGAAGACAAAACCCAGAAAATAGGGGAAACTAATTATGGGGAATCTTTTTATCTGTGTGTACTTATTTGCGTGTCCCAGGGCCCCTCTCCTCCCTGTCTGTCCGCAGTTGCTCTCCCCCCCCCGCCCTCACACCCGCAGCCGCGCGGGCGCCGGCTGCACGGGCCCTGCAAAGGCACAACAAGCTCCTGTACGCCCAGGCGCTCTCCGTGACCGACGTGCAGGAGGCGGCGAGCCCCGCCTCGAGGAGGAGGAGGAGGAGGAGGGGGAGGAGGAGGAGGACGAGGAGAGGGAGGAGGAGGAGGAGGAGGAGGAGGAGGAGGAGGAGGAAGCGGAGGAGGAGGAGGAGGAGGAGGAGGAGGAGGAGGAGGAGGAGGAGGAGGAGGGGTTGCCGGCGGTGCGGCGCGAGGTGCGCTCGCGTCGCGTCCAACACCTTACCCCTCCCGCCCGATGTGCTGATGTCTTCCGTATCTGCCGATAGGAGTCATGGCCGACCGGGACCCCTACGCCCACGGACGCCCGACATGGGTACCGAAAGAATGGGTACGATGCCCAACAGCAGTTCCTGTTCATTTTGAACAGGACTCGCTGTCCGCGCCGCCGCGGCCTGTGTCCATTCGAGACAGGAGGCCGCCCGCCCAACAGCGGCCGCTGTTGGTTCGGGACAACATTTGTTGTTGGGCATGTTGCCCATTCTTTCGGTACCCATTTCGGCAGAGCCCCGAACGCGCGAGTGTGCAATTTGAGACCGGAGGCCGTGTGCATTGGAGGAGTGCCTGGCGGATAGCGGGAGGACGAGCAGGAGGAAGTTGAATGCCTGCCTCGTCTGGTTGGTCTGGCTGGGCAGGCTGGGCGGACTGTGCTGGCTGGTCTGAGGCGTCTGATGGTCAGATTCGGATTTCCTTAGTCCGACCTTGTTGACCATTGCACTGATCTTAAGCACAGCCAGGATGGGCCACGAGATGCATACTGATATGCGGATTGACTGGCGTTTGGAATTTCACATGAACGCGAAAGCTAACCAAACATAATCATACTGCAGTAGCCTTCTGGGCTCAAGAGCGAGCCCGCGTCGGTCAGGGCGTTTTGGCCGCCACCACCGCGCGTTCTCCGTTGGTTTGTCGTCGTTGTCGTCTTCTTCTTCTTCGTCGTCGTCGTCGGGGCTGGGACTGAAAGCGCTGCTGCGTCAAGTCTGGCTACGGTGTACGTGGAGGTGGGGAAGAGGGAACATCGGCAGTCGTACCAGTTCTTATGCTTATGCCCCAAAGCAAAGTAAGGCGGTGGGACATAATCGTGTGTCGCTTCGAGCAGATGAGAATCAGCTTCGAGCAGCTTAGAACCATTCGTGGGTTCCAAAAACCTTTCGGGGTTACTGGCCCTTCGGTGCGCCCACCTTGACTTGGGCTGCGCAGCCCGTGCTTCCACCTGCTCCTCGACGTCGTTCGCCGCTTTCGGACAGCTGGTTCGCTGTGCACCAGGCTGGGTCTCCAGCGCGGCAGCGGTCGGGAGCGGCCAGGAGGGGGGTGATAACTCGATGGGGAGGGGCGATGTATGGCTGGGGTCATGATATCTGCCCAGATGTCATGGCCCTTCCTTTTTTCAATGCGTCCTTTGGCACCCCCTAGGCCGCGCATGTGCCTCGGCCATGTTTTGTGAGCCTCCTTTTTGGACGCCCCCCCTCTTCGGCGGACCTGAGGCGGCTCCACCGGGTCATTCTTCACGATGGTCTCCTGCACGGCCTTCGGCGATAGTTGAACAGGTAGGCAACCACATGTGAACCCTACCCTTGCAGGTCAGTTTTTTGAAGCGCCAGCTAAGGTTCAGACCCCGGCGGATGTTTGCAGCAATGTGAACCCCCGCGGGGGTGTCCCAGACCCCAGGTCCGCGGACGACTTGTGCGCACCGTGCCGCGCTGGTTTCTCCCGAGGGCGTGGTCGATCTTCGACCCAAGAATTGTACGGTGCATCGCTTTGCGCCCCCCGGAGCAGGAACATGATGAGTTGTACAGCGTGGGGACGGGATTTGAAGGGGAGTCCCAACGTGGAGCGGTGCGTGGGCGCCGTTCTCGTACCCGGGCCGAGCGGACCCGTAGGGCTCGCAGTCGGTCGCAGACCAGGTCTGGGCACGAGCGGCCTGCCTCCGCGCAGAGCGGTCCGCTTTGAGCACCGCGCGTCCTATGCGCGCAGCGCCAGGCCCAAACTCTCTCGGGCGGAGCCGGGCCGTGCCGAAGGCGCGCGGGGTGGTGGCCCCTCGGCGCGCGAGGGCGCCATGCCTCCGTGGCGCGCGGCCCACTCGTCCACGCAATTCGCAGGAAGGCTCGGTCACGAGAGACCGCTGACGAGCCCCATAATGTCCTCCTCCTCTCCTCCTCCTCCTCCTCCTCCTCCTCCTCCTCCTCCTCCTCCTCCTCCTCCTCCTCCTCCTCCTCCTCCTCCTCCTCCTCCTCCTCCTAGCCCGTGGGCCCGAGCTGACTGCTAGGGGCTGCGGCGAGATCCTTCTGTCTCAGTGCTTTCATACAAGAAGTTGGGGGGACCAATGCTATCTCCTGCTCGGTCGCGATGAACGCCGCTCCTCGTCTCTATCCCCAATGCCGCGCAGGCTGTCAGCTACAACCCGATGTCCGTGCTCAACTGCGGCCGTCTGGACGACATGTTCGGCGAGTTCAGGAACAAGGCGGCGATCGGGCTTCAGGGGACTCGTGTTCCTGGGCACGACCTCGCCACAGAGCAGCGGACCGTCGGGAACCGCACTTTCCTTTTCAGCTAGGTGGGTATGGACGCAGATCCAACAAGCATGCTGGAGCGGGTATCGGTCATCATCGACATCTTTTCGGAGTATCTTGCATCAAGGAGATCAAAGTCCCGAAGGACCCCAGCCTGCAAGGACTTGGCTCATATGTTCGCACTAAGACTGCTAGCCACCACGTTGCATGGATATCAGATTATGTTCCTCCAGAGAACATCGGCAATCACAAAGACAAGTCTCCATTTCACAAGCTCTTGGCAGGGGTATATTAGCTTATGGCGGGTCTGTCCCGCACGTACGTTACCGATCGTCATCATGGACGGCAATGACAGAGTTGGCACTCTAGCAGGACTACAAGGCGTTCCTTTTCCTGACGTCTGTTTCGCTATCGGCCCGCACTTTCGCGAGCCCACGAACACGAACGGCAGTTGTCTTCGACAGTTCTGGATTGAATTCCATATGTGCGCCACGAACACCTTCGCTCACGGTGCTGGTCCTGCCCGCTACAACTTGGGATCGCAGACTCAACATCGAATCGCTTATATTTGTGTACCGCATGGTTATCTCACGTCGGGCGCTGTACATTCGGCATATGTTCTGGAACGGGCAGGAGATCGGCTTCAACTCATGCAGAGTCTGCGTCGAGCAGATCATAGGCCTGTTCAAATCAACTCCGGTATTCCATTGCAGTATGATGGACGGTCACAGGTTCTACGATGGAACCGAGAACTTCTGATGCAGGAGATGTTGCATGGCGCGTTTCGTGATCTCATGTATGACCATATCACTCAGTGGTGTAACAGCAGCGCGGCAGAGTGGTAGCAGCTTCCGCAAACGGCTTCGGCCACACAGGCTTGGCAGTTTCTTATCGCCGGATTGCAAAAGATCGCCCATAAGTTTTCTGCGCCCAAAGTGGATTCAGATCTTCGTGGCAAATCGCGCACCAAACTACAACTTCTTCGTGAACGACGTGAATTACGACAGGCAGTTATTCAACAGTGGACGCATGACGGGCGGGGACCTCTTCGATGGATTTTCAGAATGCTTGGTATTGGCTCGGCTATGCATTCGCTTCGGGGTCTACTCCACGGCTGGCAAGTTCAGTTCGGCTTATGCAAGCGAGTCGTACGGCTTCTACACGCAGTAAAGGCGCACAGGCTGATGGACAGTTGGCTTTGATTGAGGCATGGCTTTTTTTTTTTTTTTTTTTTTAAAAAAAAAAAAAAAAAAAAAAAAAAAAAAAAAAAAAAAAAAAAAAAAAAAAAAAAAAAAAAAAAAAAAAAAAAAAAAAAAAAAAACACGCAGACGCACATCAGCTAGCACGGCAGATTCCTGGAAAGCGGTTGGGGCCTAAACGACGAAGGTGTGGACGGCTTATTACCCTATGGCTAACTGTGGCGGAAGCAGAGGCTCGATTCTCCAAACCAGGGGCGCAGAAAGGACGGGGCGCGCGCAGGATCACAGATGCTATGCTTTTCGTTCATGCCCAGCGCGCGCGCTCACCTCCATCGGAGGCATTTTGACCTGAAGGTGAACGGGGCCTTCTTCGTGCAATTCGTTCTCTTGACAAGGCCAAACATCGACGAGCGGCTCCGGATTGGGATTTACCTTCTGAGGTATGGCGCATCTTTCTGTATCCTCTTTACGACGCGATTGCTAGACGTGGAATAGGCATGGGCACCCCGACCGAGCAGCCGCAGTGCATCTGCGTTCGGCTTTAATTTTTTCACCGGGAAGTTCGAGCAAATGGCAGAGCTCCACAACAATGGCATCGTGATAAAAGCTCTGGGATTCCCAAGGACTTAGACGTCACGCGATGGGCACGCGGATATGGTTCCTACAGCAACCCGTTCTACCGCGGCCTCTTCAAGAACCAGCCGAGCAACATTATATATTCTCATGTTCGTCACATTATTGGTCGACGGTGCGAAGGAGCTATAGCGGCTACAACAGTAATGCTGGATAGACTACGGCAGGCCAAGACATCGCATATTGCTCTCAACTTTGACGCGTCCAACGCTTTCATTTGCGTCAAGCAGGACAGCATTATCTTCCCGACCAACTCCGAGGGCGACCCCAAGCTTCTTGATGATCGCATCGGCGGCTGCGCCACTGAGTGCGACGCGATCGACGGCAGGGGCAACTTTCATCGCGGCGAAGGTGTCCCACAAGGAAGCTCCTTGGGCACTGGTCTTTTTGAGAAGGCGCACGGAGCCTCGGTCGACGATTGGAAAGCGGCTACATTGGATCCACAGCTGCAGGTGCCTTCGATTGTTCGGGACAGCGTCGTCGACTGCCCGATCTTTAGATTTGTGGGCGACGTAAGGCGCCTTATCTGCGTAGAAGGGCTTGCGCAGCTGAGGGACTCGACTTCTCAATGTATTGACTCGCTGTCGCATCGCCCCCTGGAGATCGGTCGCGCGCAGAACGAGGAGAAACTTGAGGCCACCGCGTTATTCATGGGCGAGAATTTGGAGACCAT